CTCTATGCCTTGACCTGTACCTACCTTCTCCTTGGTACATGCATGTCTCTTGTAACACCTCTCTGGTATCTTCTACCAAGAACGACCGTGCAGTTTGTCATTTGCAAGTATATCGGTTCCGTTTCGTATCCAAGTTCATTTGAAGCCGTCATTCTAACCGCGTGCCTGAACCTCAATCGATACCTGATGATTGTGATACCCTTAAGGTATCAGATCTTCATGACGATACGGAGAGCTAAAGTGATTGTCACCGTATGCACGCTTGTAATCCTAATCTCATCCCTTGCTTTCTTTCCGTTTCCCGGAACAGCTAGTGGACAAATTTATGACATTATGTGCAACTATGGTGTCCCCCAGGATGATTATGTTACCGTAACTGTGCATGCTTTCTTCCTCCTCTACTGTTCTGTAGCAACTCTAGTGACATTGTTCACAAGTATCCACACCATAATCATCACAAGGAGGCAGCTTAGAAAGATAGCTATAGGTCTACGGCATGTACCAGATGTCACGCCTAGCCAAGAGAGAAACGAACCCCCGCGAGGACGTTTTCGCGCCAGGCGTTCCTTCATCACGCTCTTGTTGTTGAACTGTGTTGTCTCTATAGGTTGGTGTCCCATTTTTGTCCTCATCATAATATCCAAAAGCGATATCAAGATAAGCAATGTGTTCTTTAGTATGAACATACTACTTTCATGTAGTGTGACATGGTGGCACTGCATCGTGTATATCGTCACTAGTAAGGGCTACCGTAGTACGGCTACTGAGGTTTTTAAAAAATGAAGTCGCAATTCAGATGCCATTGATCATCTAGGAAAAGCTGTTCTTTACGCGATCTGATTATAGAAAACGAAAATGGTCGCCTTGTGTTGAAATCCGCAGTGTACATTGTATTGTATCATACCCTATCATTTAATAGATAACGGACAGTCTTGTCTTTGGGGGTATTTCTCCTGCCGAGGAAGACCGACTACTCCAATTTACGTCGTGTCAAACGATCGAGAAAAAAATTGAATATATTCTAGTGCGTATGGGTGATGAGGTGTAAATACTCAGAGTTCGTAGTAACGTTGAACTGTTTACAAGGAAATACTAAACATAGACATTTGATGATATCTGGTAAATATGCGGGCTATAAAATACAGTTTATAAAGGTATAGACTAGTTTTGGAAACGCCCCCTCGCAAAAAATATTCATATGAAGGAAAATGTTTTGATTATTAATAGGTGATGTTACAAATTTTGACGGGAAACCGCCTACTAATTGATATATATTTGGTAAATTATTATATGTATCCGGACTGGATAGATATCGAGTAGTCCCATATATATCTTTCTGTGTATAGTGCTTGTAACTTTACCAAGACTGGGCCAAATTTCTTATCATTTTGATGATTCCAGAACCTTGCATTACACACCAATACTAATATATGCTAGATGATCAACCCTTTCTGAATGATTCCACACTATTCTTTCACAATGCAATCGCATGACTATAGACCTGGTCTATACCTTTAAGTTGAAAGAGTTTAATAGAAGAAACTTGTAAAAATTATTTTACGTAATGTATATAATTATATACACATATTATACCGTTCTTTAATTTCAAATACTTATAGAAAGAACTTGGTTCATAGTTTTAACGACATTTTAGTATTTAGGATAGGGTTGCGGGATGTACATGTATATATTATATAAGTTAAATTAGAAAGATAGATGGTTTAGAGATTTAGCGAAATTATAGTGTATATTTTCTATGAAATGTAAATAATCTCACAAAGTCTTTAAAGCGATATACTGATCTGATGAAATTTCTGCCTTAGCCTACTATTTATTGCACCGCGCAATCACATGGTCAACCAACGGTGCAGCTGACCCGATATGGCGCTTGATGTGATTTTGCAGTAGTGCTTCTAGTACAGTAGGTCTTTCAAAGATTAAATGGTCAAAAGGAAAGTGTGTCCTTGTGTGTACATTGTATGTACTAACCTAATTTCGTGAAATTTAACTGTTCAGAAATATTTGAATTGAACTGAATTAGTTGTTTAATTAGAAAGAAAGTTGATTTTAGAGTTCATTTTTTTAAAGTAAAATCTCAAATTAGGAGGTATTTTTACCTGAGCTTTTAGAATATTCTTTCCGTCCGGAAATCAGTGATATACGTTTATTTTCTGTTTTTTCATTTAAACGTAATCTTTCATTTTTGTTTCATTTTATTCTTATGTTGTGATAATATGTTTACTAAAGTGAGAATGTATGCAATATTATATCCCGCATACTAAGGATCTTGCAATCTGATTGGTCTAAACGAGGTCACATGATAAAATATAGATAAGTACTATCTACCTCAGATAGTACTTTTGTAAAGTAATTTTTTGCTGCTACCCCACTTGCCCACCCTTGCCCATTGAATACACATAGCAAAGTAGGTTACGCGAAATGTCAAAGTCAATGTCAATGTCAAATGAGCGCGCATCGACTGTATTACATGTATGCATGTTGCGCTTTGTAAAATCTAGCTGAAGCTAAACTGTCTGCAGAATCAGTTCTTATTATTATTATGTAAAATTCACTTTAAATAGACCTTATTGCCAATGTGGGATATAAAACACATATTAACCTCCTTTACTCGGGCAATGGATACAAATTATCATCGCTTCGATGATCTTGGGGCTACCATCATCCCTCGCCTTGCGGCTCGGGATGATAATAGCCCTGAGATCACTTTGACTATGATAGTTTGCACCATTACCCTCGTAGTCGATTAATATTTGCTTACTATCAACACTATAAACATGAATATCACAGAGCCACATAGTTATGTTTACCAACGGAAAATGAATGCGGAGATTATTAAAGGGCCATCTGTACATTGAATATTTTTGAAAATGTCATGTCATGCACTCTAGAGACTATAATCATAACATGATATGAGAAAAGGATTGATAATATAATCAAATGATCTGTATTATAGGATGAGAGAGAGAGAGTGATGGACAGCGATTTAAGGTCAGTGTATAATTTGTCACACATCATTGAATGCTCATAAAGGATTATTCTCTCCTTTTCTGCAATAGTGTACATGTTTATCAAGTTGGAGAAAAACATATCTGATGCACTCCTCGCTGCACTTTCAGAAACACACTACACACTACGCACTCAAACACACATCCACACCCACACATACACATCAACTTTCACACGCACTGAAACACAAACAAATTCACGCGCACAATCACGAACATCCACACGCACATGCCCACCCACGCGCACATAAACAAAACACCCTCACCAAAGTTTATAGAACACTCGCACACACGTCCAAACCCAAGCACTCACCAAAATCACCACAAACTTTCGCATTTCAGTACGCATCAGCACCCACACGAAAATTAATGACTAGTATTCATATATTTTTTCTGGAAGAAATGGGCAAACTTAGTACATAATTGTGTAGCCTCTTGAACAAAAATTCCCTAAACTGCGGGTAACCCCTCCCCCCCCCGCCCACCCCCACCCACCCTCCCTTTTTCTTAAAGGTAATACAAAGTTTTGGGAAATTTTGAAAATTGGGTGGATAGTGATTCTTTACAGTTTTGATATATTTTGATGCCCCTGTGGATGTATTATAAACACTAGAAAATTTAGCCCCTAAAACACTTATGCTTTCGAGAAAATTTGAATAAACAAATTTACCGGTGCTCCCGGTAAATGTTAAATAGGTAATCAGTCGATTTTAGTCAAGAAACATTGTTTTATAGCTTAATTAATATCTTGACCTTGAGAGGGAGCTATACAACATAAAGATTGTATTATTTACAGTTTCATATAAAATTATGTAGACTCGATTTCGACCGCGACAACGATCACTGAAAATTGTAGGATCGCATATGCTTCATTTGAACCAATTTCATGACCCATACCAAAACTTTGTAATACCTTTAATCTAAATGGTGCAGCATCGTCTGTATACACACTTCCAATCATGTTTGGTCGGTCATGACGACGGTGTAATCCATTGCGGTCATGAGAGAACAATATTCTCCCGCAGTCCTCTATTCTTTCAACCAGTTGACATAACAAGCGCTTAGAGACTTCGGTGGTAAGCGCTTTATAAGTAACGTTTTTATTATTATTATTATTATTATTAACATCACATATTATTACCATGGAAACGGTCAGTGGATAGCTCGTGCCGATTACGAGCGCTTAGAGACTTCGGTGGTAAATGCTTTATAAGCACCTGTTTTATTATTATTTGTATCATTATTATTACTGATCATGTACGGAAAACATATCTTTGATAATCCATTCTTTCAATATTTTGTATTTTGGTTCGTTGATGATTTCGACCATAAAAGTCTTTCCGATAATGAGTCTTTAAAATTCTTGACTTTCATTTCTTTCTCTTTTTATAACTACCTTAATGACATTATCGTTGCTTGTTTGGATAACTCATAGGCTTTTAAAAAAAAGATTTAGACCTACTTCATCAAAATATGTATCCATACACACACTCATCCTCCTATAAAATACTTGTAATGGTGATTTTATTCATCATGAAATATGATATCTCGCATTTCTCCAGCTATTTTAAAGATAAAGATAAAGATAAAGATTAAGATAGTTATATGGCATAAGAGTGTGTACTGTGCAAGGTTTTGGGATAATCAAAGTGAAATCAATTGACTAAATTTAAATGAACGTCGAATACACTGCACACAGAAATGGGTATGGAACTAGTTGGTCCAAAAATTCAGCTATCTTGACTAGTTCTATTTCGAATTATGAGGCAATTTCAGAGTAATAGTTGTCATGAGATATTATACTATGATATCCTTCCAATCCGACAATCATAGAATGAGAGAGAGCCAATAAATTATTGCTCTCCTTTACCGGATTAACCAGAGCTCAATCATCTCTTTATAACGAGATTTGGATGCAGACAATCTTCCCTCATAAGGAGCTTTCCATGGAAAAAAATGCAATAACACACTTTATTTTTCTTGATATATATTTCATCCTTTATATGATTCAAGCAAGTATAAAACCAGAAAATCCTGTATCCTACAATTCATGAAAGACAATACCATTAACACCTAACAATAAGTCGTATGGTATATCTCTAATATCAAGATATTCGTTATACTTTTTTTGTAACTATACGATAATAATATACCAACAAGACTCTCAGGCAATATGAACCACATACAAATGTTGTTTTTATATGAAATAGCCATATTTTGATTATGAAAATCCAAGAATTATTGTTGCCTAAATATAAACAATTGTGTACCAAAATCTTTGCTTGAAAACCTATGTGGAAATACTTTTGTCACCTGTTCTAAATTCATATTTTGCTCTACATCACAACTGATTCTTAGCTTCAGCTCCTAAACTATCTCATCATCAGGTAGAAATCATTTGAGACAATCTATAGTATCTTAAAAAATGATTAAATATTTGGTTACCACGGTAACATGTAATTTGATTAACAAACACTATAAAGAAAGAGCTTCTATTAAATATATATTGCATTGTTGTAAACATGTTATTATGAAAAATGAATGGGGGATATATCTAAATGATTTACGTAATCGTATGATCTTGGCATAATAGTCATGACATTCATCAATCGACTAAATAGAGACGGAATTAAAATGAAATTATCTTTTAAAGGTAATTGTCTGATTACCAAATCAAGTGCAATGTATGATTTCTTCTGGTAATAATTCTACAACACCATACTCTATAACTTCTCACTAGCTATAACGTCACCTCAATAATTTCACCTCGTACTAAATTGATTAAAGTAATATCTATGGTGGAAATGTTAATTGACTTAACAACACCACAAAGCATACTGTGTACCTATACAATGACATATCTTAATTCTACACTACAATTATAATATGTTGTACATAATTTTACATGTATTATGCTACAAGTATGTAAATATATGAGATTAAAATGCTTTGTAGATACAGATACATATATTTTATTATGCTTTTTATGTGTTGTAAATTCGTTAAATAAATTCTGTAATGCACATCACCATATGGAAACTTAGACAACGTCTTAACATAGGCTTACCTCATTAGTCACAAACACTCCACCAAATGATATATTAAACATACAAGCATGATCTCTTAGGCCTCGTTCAGATGTGATGTTGTAAACAAACCCGCAGTGCTTTTTCTTCAATGATGACGTAACGTGAAGTACGCTTACCATTTCTGTATATTTTAACACCGAGGTATGTAAATGCGCGTAGAATTTTGTTGCGCGCAGTTACCAGTTACCATTCATTGTATACGCTTAAAACCAATGTTTTAAAAACGCGGCTTTTTGCGGCGGTTTACTGAGTCACATCTGAACGAGGCTTTATAAGAGAAAAGTATCCTGTGAATCTTAATAATATTTGCATAGATAGAACAAATAAAATGTCAAGTGCTTCCAGATATATACACCCTATCGCATAATTAGCTGAATTAATCAAAAATGAGAATCGGCCATAATAAACACACCCTTTAATAGAATCAAAATAACTTACAGAAATATAATTGATTGAGATTTTGTATATTACTGTATGAACTCATGTAGATATAGAAATATGCCAAGCAGACAATGACTTCTGGATTTTGCCCTTGTTTTGAAAATATCTAAGTATGCTATTCTTTGAAAAATAAAAGTGGAAGTCAATCTCTCAAGGGACTCCACAAAGGAAACGAAATCACTTTTCCCCCTCGGTATCACATTATATTGCCAAATTTAATTTTGTTGAAGGAACAAGAGAATCTAAGAATGCAATCTCAAATATCACACAGACTTCTTATTTAGTAGAAATGAAATGTATGATTATAGCAAAAATTGAAATATTTAATCAACATCACTCAAAAATAACTTTTATTTCTAACAGGAAATTTCAAAGTTAACCCTTTTCCCAAAAATGACAGAGTAAAACCAATATAGCCGCAGTAAAAAAAAAAATCTTCTATCTGTAAACGAATCTTAATATTATGTAGATGGGGGAAATTACCTGCCCCCGAAAAAAGACCCCTATACGTACCAAGGGTGTATTTAGAGCTCCATTTCAGGAATGTAGTTCGAAAGATGGTTGTGTCTGGTGCACGTTTTTCAGAAACGCAGTTTCAAAACGGACAAAAAAAGTGCCTTTCCAAACAAGTTTTCAACAGAAGCTTAGCTTCTGGGCAGCTCTAAAGGCACATTTTATGAGGGCGTTTATATGACGTCATAATTATAATCACATAGCATGCGCAGTGTGGTGCGCGGAGCTAACCGCAGGGTCAGACTTTATCTGGAGAAAAGAGCTACAAACACGGAACCGTAAAAAGTGCTTCAAGTCTGTGCTTCCAAATTGTGTGTTTTACACGCTTTTTATACATTGGAAAAGAGGACTGGTTTAACACAACCTAAGACACTGGAATGTGAAACGCAAGAGACGTATTGTATGTAATATTATTTTGCCGCGGCGGTTATTTGAGGCAATTTAGACCCGTCATATGTAATTAGGGCTTGACGGCGATATGGAAGATCGGATAGGTGTTCTAGTCTACAAAATTGATAAAACAGATGATATCCGCGATACAGCAAACGATAAGATGGTAGCCATGGATACAATAAAAACGCCAGCTTCACTTCTCAATGCCGAATCTGAATAAGAAAAAGAATATGGATAGATTTCAATTTGCAATCGAGAATAGAATTAGAAGTACGTAAAGGTTGATCATGCAGTTCGTAAAACTTGAAAAGGACGATAAGGGACATAATTACATTACTACTCTTTCTGTTTTTTGGTCCAATATTTGCATTCATTGAAGAAGAATAAAATCGGAATTTGATGTATCATATTTTTGGCAAGAAATATATTATACTAGTAAGAGCATTATGATCTTGTGCTAACATGAAACTAGAAAAGTAGATAAAAGTTTATTTTTTGTTCTTATTATTATTTATAGTACATTGGTTGAAGAAGAATGTGTTTAATACTATTGTGCAAAGCTTATGTTATGATTCATGCAAAAACATATTAAAGGCTGTCTGTTATAGGTTGGTTAGGAGGGATTAGACCACCCAGGGAGTTCACTGACAGGTGGCTATCTCATCAATTCAGCTCTCAAGTAACATAAGAAAAAGAGGATCATGGGGGACCACTGTTCACCAATTGGGCAATGTTTTGCATATAGAGGGAGCAAGTAGCTATACAGTGGGCCTTTAAAGAAAGTGAAGTTAGTTTTGTCTGCTGATCTACTAAAAAATATTAAAGTATGAACAAGTGTTTGGTTAGTAAATAATAAACAATGAAATCATAGCGTATGTTTATGCATCATGATCTATAAGTATGCCTTATGTGATCGCTTATTTACAGTCTTACTACATATTAAACGTCGACTTCGCAGATTTCTTTTATATACAAGTGATATATAAATATCATAATTTTACTCATTGAGTTGAGTAAGCATAAAATCTGCCTGCATTTAAGAGCTCTCATGATTTTCATTCATTTGTTTGTCGGTTATTAACCCATTGCTTACTGGAACCGGGTGGTCTCTGTGTTAAGTCTATGGGAATTAGATAATTCAGTAGTGAACGGGTTAACATTCGTCCCTTCTCCAACTATAGTCAATCATAAATGATTAATCAGGTTTTGTGATGCATTTATACACATGATACAGGGCATGTCAATAACTAGTGAGATTTATTATGTGATGTGTGTATCTTGATGAAGCAAGTTAGTTTGTTTAAAGCCCCTCTGCACTAGTTTGGCATGGTGGGATTATACCTCCCTGCAAGGTCACTGGCAGGTAGTTATTTCATCAAATCAGCTTTCAAATTACATAAGAAAAAGGGCATTATGTGGAAACAACGGGTACCACTTAGGCAGTGTTGACTGTTTAGAGGGCGCAAGTAGCTATGAGAAGTGCAGTGGGGATTTAAATTGTTTTCTTTTAGTTTGGTATGTATGTCCATGCAGTACAGTGAGGTGTATATCTTGCATAGGCGGATCCAGGAGGAGGGGCCCGTTCGATGGCAACAGAAAAACAAAAACTGCAATACCTTTACTCCGACTAGAAGGAGAATGCACTCATGTTTCAAAGTGGACCCCCCCCCCCCCCCCCCCAAGCCAAATGAAGAACCATTTATGTTATGCTTGTCTTGTCTTTTTCCTTTTCGATCTTTTCCATTTCCTTCTAATACTAATCATTTTTTTTTTTCTCAGAGAACTTTTTTGTGCGAATAGTGTCTCATCTCTTTTTTTTTTCTTTAATTGTAATTTGAATATTTAATTATTTATCTCTATTTATTCATCATTGTTATATTTGTTTATATTTATTATTATTATTATCTCATTATATTTATTATATTTATATTTATCTATTCATTTAGTAGGTTTCTGTTAAAGTCTGATTTGTCTGCTTCTATTGAAAGTAAGTTATTTTTGGAGTGGACTTGGGCTTTAAGGGGCTTGTCGCCATGGTTAATCAAGCCCCCCCCCCCCCCCCTCCTCCTCCCAGGTCAGGGATAGAGCATCCTGGATCCGCCCAAGTATCTATAAACATGTTAATTATGTTATGTGTGATATATCTTCATGTATATTTAGCCTGTTTTGCGTGCTCTGGACAGGAGTGTCAGACTGTAAAGCATAGATGTGTAGGCATGTACATGACCAGCCGAAGCAAGGAAGCGTCTAACTAGCTAGCGGATCAAACTGCTCTTGTCATGCCGGTAGTCGAGTCCAAATCAGTATAATCATCTGGAGCAATGGTCGTACTGCTGCCATCTGCTGTTTGATTGTGGAACATTGTGAAATGTTGTGTTCATCATTTTTCAAAGTTTATCGGGTGACGGACCGGCCACATATCAACGGGAAACCAGACAGTTTGTTTATGTAGCAAAGGTATGTATAGGTATGTATTCAATCAATTAGTAACGATTTCTGCCAAATGACCATTTTCCTCGGATCCTATACCCTTTCTACATAGCCCGATTATATGTATATATATATATATATAGTTACAGATATTTATGTTAATATCGGTATATGTGTGATCAGCCCTGAAAGTCGTATTTGTACTAATTTATCCATATGAAGCAATATGTACTAAAAACAAATATGCACTACGTATGGCAAGACCTATTATGATACAATTATTTGTATGATTATGTGATATAAGACCACAGACAAATTGAAACAAACCAGTACATCGCAGTTTTTTCTGACCAACACATCCGGGCTTTTTCGTTTTTGTATCACATCACATCTGAAAAAAAAAACAGTTTTGATGTTCCCTTTCGGTATCAGGTCACGCTTGCTAACTATCTACAGCGTAATAGTTTATTTCTTGGCCATTTTGTAAATCAGGTATAATATCAATAAGATATACGAATAATACTTACTATTGACTACATCATAGAAGGCAATAGTTCCTGCGATGTTATTTGTGACGATGAGGAAATCTTTTCCTGTTGGACTCTTCTCATATGGTAGAAACCTGAAATAAATGCAAAATTATATTTTGACTGTTCAGAGAGTTTTGTATCATCCAACGCGTGTAATTATTTCATTCTTCTACTAACATTATAGTAGGATTGGTGTATTAATTAAATGTACCATGAACTTCTTTTTTTTTTTTTTTTTTTAAGAATTGCTTAATTGGTTACGTTATGCAATTATATCAATATTATTTTATTTAATTATGGGAAAATTTCAGAAAAATACATGTACATTATTTTTGCCCCTTTACAATTTAATCTATTAACGAATTGAATATTCGTGTTCCTTATCTATACCGGTGTGAACGACACTTTTTGTTTCAATTCGCACAAGCCAATAGTGTCAACAACCCAATTTTCAGCGGAACATTTTCCATGAGATATCTTATTCAAATTCTTAATCTTTAATCCATAGCTATTTCTTTATTAAATCTTACTCACTTTATATCTTCTGGATCCAAGTCACCTACTTCCCTGTCTATTAAGAGCTGATCATATGACCTATCGGTGCCACCGGCTCGGTGGAAACTATCGAACTCTGGTATCGCTGACCCGGAAGGGAAGGTGAAGATAGCAATGGCGGACAATCTCTCGATTCCTACAAAGAGAAGTCTGGTCCCGTTGACCTCAGCAAATGCCAGTGATTCACACTCTGGTCCCTGGCACAAAGAGAGAAGAGTGAAAGTTAGGCTGACATTGAGATAAAAAAAATAATGCAAAAGTTGGTGTGACCATAGGTATCAAAGTGTCCAATAGGGTCCATGCATGGGAGTTATGAAGCGGTTTTTATTATGTTCCTGCCTGTGTCTCTGTTTTTGTTTTACACACTATACTTTCAATCAAGAGGTTGAGGCTCGAATCCAGCTTACTGTCATAATCTGCAAAGACATTGGGTACCCGATATTTTGGAGTGCAATATCATTTCACCAAACATTAATTGGCGTAACATATTATGTTTTTCAGAACGCTCTCGTTGTTACTAGCTTTACTTTACTAGTACTACCTGCCCTGACCAATTCTGTGTAGAGAATTAGTACATGCAGCAGAAATTCAACAGAATTTTGAGTATTCAATTTGTCACTGTCACTCTCATAAGGCGTGAAAAAGACCTCATAAGTGGCCGCGACGTAGCTTAAGCCCCTTTCACACCGGGCCATGCGTAGAGTTGCGTAGTGTTGCGTACCAACTACGCCGAGCTTACGCTGCCCTACGCTGGCCAACGTAATTATACGCTCAGGGACGGAAAGGAGTACGCGAGATGGACGCAAACAAATAAACGTGTTTAATTTGTTTGGCGTACTTTTGGCGTAGACACTAGTGTACGTACCACTACGCCACAGTACGCCAAGCCTACACAATAGTACACTACACTACGTCATTCTGACCAGGGACTGACGAAGCAAGTCCCTGCACACAGTAAGCAACCGTACGCAACCGTAAGCAAACATGTACACCAGGCCTACGTAAAAGTACGCAACCCTACGCTTGTAATACGCAATTGTACGCGTAGGTACGCCCATTGCATACGCCGTAGGTACGCGGTGCCTATGCACAGGTCCGTTACCATACGCCAACGTACGCCAGTCTACGCATAACCTACGCAGGGACTACGCCGAAGCAATATTTTTTACATGAATACGCAGCCTAATTGTGGCGTTGTCGGTACGCCACACTACGCAACTCTACGCAGATCCGGTGTGAAAGGGCTTAAGAATAATGTAGCTTACATAATCGTCAGAGCGTGTATCTGCGGAGCCCTCCGGAGCACCCGTTAGAGGCTTCGTGTCTGTGTTGAAGACATTTGTCAATTCTTGTGATGATTTGACCTCTATGACGTCACCACTGTCATACACCAATGAAAGGTCACTAGCTTTGCGGATGGATATACTTCGACCACCGTAGAAAACAAGCTGGTCGATTTTCCCAAATCTGGAAGCATTGATGCCTTCGTATTGGCTGAATTTGAGACGACCTAGTGAAAGAAAACAAATTAGTAAGGAGACAAAAATACCCTAAGTTAACAGCACAACTTCCGCATCAGTGAACATGCGTGAGCTTTCAAATATGCTGCTCAACAATATTAATTACATTATCGTTTCAATATACTCTAGCCAGCTAACCGTGAGGAAAAAAACCCACAAAGAATACAGATAATGAAACGGCCAGGGATGTTTCAATGATGTTTACTATTTACTTGTACTAAATGTGGAAATAAAACGTTTACAATTCTTAGCTTCCTCCAGAGAAATTTGTGTTTCGGGGCTTGCTGCTTTTGTAGCTTATACGTATATTAAAGGATGTATAGCATGACAAATACTGGTTTACGCAATTTAGGACTTCGCGAAAAGACCGAAGTTCTCCTCACGCTTCGGTTTCGCGTATGTTGCACGCACATGAATACTGCGGTCGCGTCGTCCGTAGTCGTACCCGATTGGCCCCGAGTCGGGCCACGAGAAAGACACGTAGTCATGTCATGCTACACCCCCTTTAACTCATTGTATGACATGTGTTCCACTGCGACCTGCTTTTGGTTAACTCACCTAACTGTGATGTATCATTCAATGCAGATATAAGAGGAGATTCACCCCAAACCAGACCATCTAAAATTACAAAGATACAGAGAAAATAATACCAAAAAAAAAAAACGTTTATCAAAGTTATAGGTTTTTACTCTTTGAAGATAGGAATAATATAAATGACATTTCGGCACTCTAGTGAAGATGTGTTTAAGAATTGAAAAATACAAACGACGGTTCATTGCAATATGACCAGTATTGAAATTAAGAAAAATCGTTCTCAGTCTCAGTTTGGGTATCTTTGCCAGGATGATACTCACAATACTATGAAGTACCAACGAATATGGTGAATTATCAAACCGTACTGACATGATGTAGATATGTACGTTGCACCAATAAAGATATTAAAAAGTACATGCCATTTCAATGTTTAAATTGTATTGTAGTAAAATTGAATCTTTTTCAATAAAATACAGGAGATGAAAGTATAAATAAATCCCGGAATAAAAATGAAGAGACCATTGCCCGAATATTGGTCATACAAATAGCCTTTTCCCACTTTGTACGTCTACAAGATGACAAAGGGAGGTTACACTTTATTACCGTCAACGAGCGACTTCCCGCGCTTTTCTTCAGTCCACGTTGGGTATTCTACAGTAGCGCCCTCATTGGCGGTTGCTATATATCCAGTCCCACCGACGTCAAAGTATTTGATCGCATCGGGCTGATACATACTGTAGATGTCGTGATTGCGGAAGACAATTCCTACCAAGATAATGAAAGTTGAAATATTGAAGAGTTGAAAATGGGAGAACATGTGAACACATTGGAAAACTAGACATCTCCTCCCCCCCATCCCCGCCAGGCCCAATGTTACTTTCCTTATTATGTTATTATGAGGAGAGTGAATATTTGTCAGGCCTGAGCATTATCAAGCCATAGATAATTTAATTACTTTGATTTCCACTCGGTTTCCCTACAAACAAAAATTGATTCCTTTTTGTTCGTGAATATATTTCGACCTGCATTTTTGTTTAAGACTCTACTAAACTTCAAATTTATTATTAGTTTTGAACAAAGGTTGTATCGATGCCTGAGACTTTAAATCACCCTTTGCATATCACATAATTATAGTGCAAAATGATATCAAACGTCTCTAAATTTCCCAGGTATTATTCATTGTTGTTTGCAGTATCATGGATTCAGGACTACTAGAAACTATCGTTCTATTGCACCCTCATTGAAACTACCCATGGGTAACTTACATTGTACTACCCCCTAAAACAACTACCACCTAGCATAACTAATCTTAGCCAACAGGAATGATTGATTTATGTGGTGGCTTTCAGAGCGGGAGTTGTTCAAGGTGGACTAATTCCCCGGAGATAAATTTCCGGGGTTGATATTCGAAAGATTGTTGTCCTATTTTCTTCTTTTTTTAACTTCAGTTAAAAAGAAACTATTGACCGAAAGACTTAACAATAACTGAATAACTGGAACAAAAATATAATAAAAATAGATCTTGGGATTTGTATATTCACCTCCATCTCTATCGCTAACATCCAGCTTAAGATCTTTCCAAGACTTCAATCCAAGACTGTAGATCTCCTCTATCGTCTCAGTTCCAATATTGATGACTGCGATGGCATTGTTTTCCTAGATGCAAACATATTTTTGTAATGGGTCACCAGTTTCTTTATAATTGCGAATCATTGACTCAAACAGGTTTAACAATTGTTCTTCAGTTGTTTTCTTATCGTAGAACAGCTTCCCTAACCCCGGGGAAAACCCCACCGTGGAACAAGTACTCGATCATGTCCAACACCTACACCCGAACAGCTATTCCCTAGGACAACTGCCCAAGGATAATTCAACGATCCTCTGAGAAAATTACCCACTGAAAACTGCATCTAAGTTAATTACACAAAGGGGGCTGTGGTTGGATTTGATAAATTATTCAAAGAGCATTATTTTATCCGAGGGTAGTTTCCCTTGCTGTTGTTCTAATGGGTTGTTTGATAGGTATCCAGGGGTTATTTTTGATACATTTCCTTTCTAAATTCAAACACATATGATTTTTTAATTTAACAGAATACATTAACCATGTTGATATTAAAAGTACTTCGTAAAATGGCTTAAAATCAAATTATTTGAAGGTAAAATGCCGACAATATCTAGGAATTTCTATTGAACTTAAAACTGGTAAGGCGTTTCAAAGGTCATATTAGATGCATACCAGGGCAAAAAAAGGATTACAGACAAGACGGTTTGACAAAGTTTCTGGTAGTAAAACGACTTACTTGCAGAGCGATATATGCTGTTGAGTCATCCGAACTAATAGCGACGTATTCCGGCTCCAGATTTTGAGAGAAGGTGGAATTTTTATATGAATATCTGACTCCTTTAGCTTCATATTCAGCTGCTCTGTGTTAGATTGAAAAAAGAATGGACACATAATATCATGGCAAATATTTAACATGATCATGGTAAGATAACAACAATGATAATACATATACGTGAGATGACCATGCATGCCATGTTAGATGGTGTAAAGAATTTATTTTAGACTGCCTCCTTGTCTACCCTTGATTATGCCAGGTCTCCTTTTTATAATCATTCCAATGTTTCTTTCTTTCTTTCCTACTTTATTCTTCTTCTTCTTCCACTTCTTCTTTCCTCCTTCTTCTAATTATCTTCTTCTAGTTCCTCGATCAAGTTTCTGCCTCTTTCACTTATTTTCCTTTCGTTTCCTGGCGCATTGTTCAACACAAGGAGGGTAATCAAGTTTTCCTGTACTCCTTCCGAAATATAGATCTGAAATATTTAGACTAATTAACTTGTGTTTTAGTTTTAATACATATTCTGACACTATTTCGCAAAAATAACAATTAAAGCGTTTTATCAGTTACAACTTACAACCGATCGAAGCAATTTTTTTGATAAAACGTAGTCACGTTTTCAGAATCATCTACATCTCTCCTACCACTGCTCACCAAATCCCATCCATCAACAACATCATCATACAGTAACATCATCTACAACATTCCAAAACATATCGCGAATGATATTTCGCCTCTCATTTTGATCCAGCTTCTCATATTTTTGATGCTGTTGCATCGTGTCGTTGAACTAAAATCACAACCAGTTCACAGGGTCATTGCTATTCTAGGGGCATCTGTTATCCGATGATTGTCTGAGCTTTGCGTTCGTCTTTCCTTAATCTGGGTCAACTATTTCTTTGATTTTTAGACATCCTAAACCGTACCACATTTGATTTTAGAATAAACATGATATGATGAGATCCTTGCACTTTGACTTATTCCTCCAGGGTGACAGTGTCGAATTGTATTCAATCAAATATTTTCTTTGTAACGCAAGAATACCGAGAAAGTTCTGGGACTGAGTTGTTCTGTGATACTTCCATATGGTATCTCTGATTTTGGAATACGTTTGTTCATGGAGTTAAACCCCATGGTTTGTCTTCACGCTCTGTTACTCGGAACACACGGAATTTGATTTGTACGCGATTACTCCAAAATCATACATCTACATTAATGTTGCGATCATCACATATTTCTCAATATCTCTTCCTTTCACCGTATAATAATAATAATACATGAGATTTATATAGCGCCAAACCGATTCCCAAACCGATTCAAACACATGGCACAAGATAGATTTTCTTTGTAAAGCTTATGTCATAGTTCATCAAAATGTGTGCGGTTATATCGATTTTCAAATCGAATAGATTGTATATTATTAGAGAAGGTATATTGGGGTATATTGGTTGTTTAATGTTCTTATAACTATGTTTAGTTTCTTGGCATAGTTTAGCGGAAAATATCAACCCGGCATAGTTTCTATTTGAACGTACAACGCGAGGGATGGACACGAGGTTAACAGTGGACAGTTTCGGAATCACCTGGACCAACAGTACACTGTGCCTCTCAAAAGCAGTCAATAGTATGTATAGAAAGAACAGGTTGATTATTGATACCGTTCATTGAAGGCCGTGAAGTTGAGATGGTTGATGGTGTACCCCTCGCTCCTACCGCTATCAAGCCTAATGATGGAGACCGTCCCTTCGGGGTCGATGAACACCCCAGGCACATCGGTTTCATCGTACTCGCCTTCGTTGACGACCACGATCGTCTGACAGTCCTTGGTGAAGTATAGCATGTCTGGAACGCTGCCGACTACGAGAAGAAAATGACGCCGTTAAAAATAAAAAAAAATTATAGTTGATCTAGTGGAATAAATATTTTGATTAGGACCAGTGTTACTGTATAGCATCTTGAGTGGTCTTATTGGTCGGAAAAGTGTGCACTGAAATACTTATTCCTTTTAACATTAAAATGGTATCGACTGTTCACTATTGCCCCCCAAAATCACTATATTACTATGAGGCCGTTCACACCGGCAGAGATAGCGCGCGCTAGACCGCGCTATCTCTGCGGTTTGGAAGGTACAACGTCGTTTCAGTCCGCCCAACAGCGAGCCACGGCGAGCCAAAACGGCGTGCCACTGGAGCACCTCTTGGGGGTGGTCCACGAGAGAGAGCGCGGTCTAGCGCGCGCTAGAAAAAAGGGGGTGCTACGATAGACCGCGCTATCTCATTGCGGTGTGAACAGCCTCTATGATTTTCTTAGGAGTGCCAAAGGGGGCGCACGAGTACCGTCACCTACTACGCGCTGTTAGGAGCGATGATCCTCCTTGAGTCTTGAGTGAACAAACATTTTTTGTAAGCAGTGTCATCACTAGCCAGTTCATTAGACCATCCTGTGGTATGTTAAATATGATATTCCATTTCATGGTTCTTTTACGTGGACACCAACGATTTTTTTTTCTTTTTATTTTGTTGTTAATTTTTTTATAATTATCATTAATTTTATTTATTTATTTTCTATGTTATTTTTTTTGTATTATTATTATTATTATTATTTTTTTTTTTTTTTTTTTTTTTGGGGGGGGGGGGGGGGAGGGCGGTCACATTGTTAATTTCCTCACCTGGGATCTCTAAGTAATCTGTCCAGTTACGGCTGGTGGTGTTGTAGGCCCGCATCAGGTGTAGCATGCCCTGTGCATTCTTGTGAGCAATGCCATTCTCCAGGTATCCCACATAGTCCCCACACACTTCAATGTCGTTGACCGAGGAGCTGACCGGGCGAGAGTGAATGATGGCGGGGTTGGCTGCGTCGCTGATGTTGGCGATCTGAACGTAGGTGTCGCCTGGTGGACATGTCATTAAGTAAAGGGGAAGAACGTGCAGAACTTTTTAATAACGGCTCCCCATTTTTTAGGGCTGCATAAAACGTTTCATCGCATCTAGGCCATGTAGGCTTTATGATTCTTTGCCATCTTCGATATTAAATTCACAGAGACAATTGCTGCTATCTATCACCTTAACGTTTCAAGATATAATACAACACCTAAAAAGGCTTTCAAATCTGACGGGACCTCGGTCTTTTGGACCTTTGAAAAACGTTCCTCCAAACACCTTCTATAAATTGTTGATTCTGAGAAGTCCCTAATAGAAGGGGAACATTACCAATATATAAATTGCCAAAAATACCTACCAACTTAATTTTTAGACAATATTGTGACCGCATTTGTATCTACATGTTCTTCCACACCACTTTGTTCCAACAATATATAACGTCTGCACATGGAACAGAAGGGATATATGTATTACAAAATAAAAGGTCTGCCGGGTAATATATTTTTTTTCATCTCTGTGATCATCAAAATGAGCTCGTGGTCTTACCTGCTATATAGAGTAAATGATTCTTATAATCATAGCTGCTCTGTTCAGATGGCCCTTTCACAAGACCGTAGAGTCCTTCCCCAGTCGTTGCGTCAAATTCATATGGTACATAAAGCACTGAAATAGGATTCAAGGTGAAGCGGGCAGCTGATAAGGAGACTGTGAGTAAGACTAACCAGAGTGAGGTAAGAAGCTTTCTTAAACGTCTATGCAAAATATGATCCATGTTTTGATCCGGTATGATGCCCCGTATCTGGAGATGTCACGCTCTGAAAGGCAGGAGTAGAAAGTTTTGCAGAGCTGCGTTCAAACAATTACCGTTGTGACCGTTCGTCTGCTCTCTCACTGATCAGTAACTAGAAGGGAGAAACGTGAAATCAATATCATCTTGAAGTAAGAGCTTCATCATATTACAAGGACCTACAAGCGTATCGTTTTTCCACTATCGCCAAAGTAGCGTTCTACCACTATTAGGGACTTTTAGATTCGCACGAAGACAATGGGGATTGCTACGGTCGACGTCCTTTTAATGCACTGCCATGAATGGATGCACACGTATCAGTCCACGCAAATCTAAAGGTCCCTATTGTCCTAGCATAGACGGCAGGGGCGCATCCACAATTAGTCAACAAGTGTTGCAGCAATGGAAAAACCTCTCATGCTCGGGCACGCATTATTTGTTGGTGGTAATGTTCCAAACATCTCAAGCTTTGAATGTACATGTATATATTTCAGTGGCGGATCCAGGGGTGGGCCGAAACGGCCGCGGCCCCCCCTATTGGCGAAGCAAAAAAAATTGAGAAGGAAAAAAGAGAAAGAAAAAAAGAAGGGAAAAAAAGGGGGAAAAAGGAGAAGATAAAAGAAAAGAGAACAAAAAAGTAAAGAAAAGAGAGAGAGTTCAAAAAAGAGGAAAGAAAAAGAAGAGAGGAGCCGGGGAGAAAGAAAGACAACGAAATGGCACTAAAAAATAGTGACAGTAACGACGAATAAGGGAAAGACAATACAAGGGGAAGGGGGTGCGTGAAGGCGGATGCATTGAGGGGAGGGGGAGGGGGTAGGGGTGACTGGCCGTATTCTTATTTTTAGGTTATGCGAAACTGGGTCGAAATTATGCTTCTTTTCAAAACAATCTTAGCATGCTTGTTTATGTTAAGCCGGAGTGCATGAAAAGGTTAGTGTAGAAACACTTCTGAAAAGGCCGCGCCCGGCCCCTCCAAAGAACGGCAGAATGGTAATCTATAAATTATGGGGTCATTCTTGATGGCTTTGGAGTCGTTATTAAGGAGGGGGCCGGCCCAACTCAAATGGTAGTGACCGTAACGATGGATAAGGGAATAAGGAGGAAGGGATGCACATGCAGGCGCGTACGCAGGGGGGGGGGGGGGGGGGGGAGGGGGAGGGGGGGGGGGGGGAGGGGGGAGGGGGGAGGGGGAGGGGGAGGGGGAGGGGGAGGGGGGAGGGGGGGGTCGAACCTCCCTCACATTTTTGTCAAGTTGTCAAGTTGGTCCTGATGTGTATAATGCGTAGACCAGGGGTTCTCAAACTTTTTCTTTGACGGTCCAGAAGCGATTTCTATGAAAGCTGTAAGGTCCGAAATGACACTTGTTAAATGAGAATTGTTACAGTTTAAAAAAACAGAACCGCTAGTGCTTCCACTCGTTTAAATAGAGTTTCCTGAAAAAGAACACCCAATATCCTGGAATTTGAAAGAATTTTCTTAAAACTTTCAAAATGCCTCTTACTTGGATTTCTTATTTGGATGAATCGCTATGAGTCTCAACTCAGTAAGCATGACTGAGATTTGTAAAAGTTGTTTGTACAAAGAAGATTCGGGTGAATAGCAGTGCTTATTCAAACAAAATAATATTCGCATCAATTTGAATCACAATCATTATTTGTCGCTTAATCCCTTTTAATGACCTTGTTTTCTTTCTCGTTTGCAAGGGGAGAAGAAGATATGTCACGTTAAAGACATCATAAAGATCAGTGTTGTATGCGTATATATTATATACACAGGCCAGTAACAGCTATGTAGCTTGTAAATTTGTAAGAGGGAAAATGCTGATTGGAATGATAATGATGAAATAGCAAATAATTGAGGAGTATCATACATGTAGGTACCAATTCAATGGATATTTGTATAAAAAAGAGCCCCCGTCAGTACTAAAAGAGCCCCCGTGAGAAGGCTCACGGGGGCTCTTTTTTTGGGGGGGGAAGAGCCCCGGGGACAAAAAATTAATTTGAGCCCTGGCTATGACGTTTTAATATATATCAATTATTGAGTAGGCTTATTTTGCTTTCTAATGGATCCATACAACATGGCAGAGCTTGAGGGGTCTGGCAGAGCCTTTTCAAGAGAGAAATTGTCTTTAGGAGAAAAAAGAGGTTATTTCTAAAATGAAATGAAAGGGTTATTGACTTTCAAGAGAGAAAATTGTCTATAAAGCTATGGTCACAAATTAGAGCAGCGACCGCCCGATCAGTAGCCTGCTCGGTCGCTGCTGGAATTAGGCATCGCCCAGCGATTAGTTCGGTGCCCGGGCGGCGACCGCCCAGGCACCGAGCGTATTTTGGGCGGCGAGTGAAAAGTGGGCAGGCGCCGCCCAAATTTTAACTCCGCGCTAAAACTTCAGCGGCGACCGAGCGATGCCCTAACAACGAGCGGTGACTGGCCGGTCGCCGCTCGGTGGCCGGGCAGCGCCGGGCAGAATTGGTTGAAAAATCGCCGCTCGGCCGCCGAGCAGGCTACTTTTGGGTAATGTGACCATAGCATAAGAGAGGAAGAGAGGTTATTTCTAAAATGAAATGAAAGGACTCTTGTCAAATAGCCCTTTCATTTCATTTTTTCTCTCGAAATAAACTCTCTTTCTCTCTTATAGACGATTTTATGAGATGGAATCTTCAATCTGAAGCCTTTTTGTGCTCTTTGAAAATGGCACACTGAATGGGGGCAGTGCAATTTAAATTTCAAGGGATGGATTAGAGTTTTTATTGAGAGTCAAATAGCCCTTTCATTTCATTTTAGAAATGAACTCTAATACATTCCTTGATATTTAAATTGCGCCGCCCCTATTGTGTCCTCTTTTTAAAGAGCACAACAGAGCCCTCAGATTAGGCAGCAAGTAGCAAAACAAACCCGTAACACTGGACACAACATTCAATGGGATGATGCCCATATCATTGAGTTTGAAACGCACTTCTGGTCAAGAATGGTAGAAGAAGCATCTGCATAAAAAGGATGAATCCTTCACTGAATAGGGATTCTTGCGATACACTTTTACCTTTGTGTAAATAATAAAAGGTCCACGGGCGTGGTTGTTAGAAGCTTAAACTACATAAAACTCTCTCCAATTTTGCAGGGAGAGCCTTTGTCGGGAGTCTTTAATAATAAAAGGGATAAATCCTTCACTGAATAGGGATTCTTGCTATATGTTACCTTTCTTCGCTCCAGTGATCTCGAGGCAGCAGACAGCAAGAAATTGTGTAAATAATTTGCTGTTGCCGGGAGTCTTGCATGGGGCGGAGCCCCAGGAAGTTCTTGAACTTTAAAAAAAATTAGGAAATTCCAAATAGTCGTCATGAGCGATAGAAATTGTAATTTCCTCCTTGAGAGTCACATAACCCCTTTCATTTCATTTTAGAATGTAACCTCTCTTTCTCTCTTAAAGACAATTTCATATAACTTCTGTTTTCGTATTGTTGTACTTTCGTCCGCAGACTACTTAAGCACATATCGAGCCAACTCAGTCGGAAATGTAATATGTAGGCCTAAGTGTAAAGTTAAGTTTCATGTTCTTCCTTTTTTCTTTCTTTCTTTCTTTCTCTCCCTCTCTCTGTCTCTCTCTTTTTCCTCTATCTTCTTAAAAAAAAAAAATTATTCTTTCTTTTCTTCTCATCTTTCTGTGTGTGACATGCGTTACGCGTACGTCTATCAATGTCTTAATAGGGTAGATTTACATTTTGATGTTTCCCTTTGTAGGTGCACCTTATATTCCAGAAAGTGCCCTATTTTGATGGTGCCCCCCCCCCATGTATTGATCTCGATAAAAATAACTTTCTCATTAATTCTATTTCCAATATATCTAATGCTTGCACTAATCTCCAATTTAAAAAAAAATCGTCTACTTTCTCTCAAGACAACATTATATAAAGGATTCATTAATGCAAGGCTATCACGCGAGTAATCTCTCAATTTCTAACTTCCTGCTTTCCTCATCTCCCAGTCTCCCTTGCTTCAATATTCCTCGTTACTTCCTTCCAATTGAACTCCAACTTAATTGATGTTATACACTGTATCTATTCTTCAACTACAGGTAGATGCAAATGTTACTCAAAATCCATTATATAAATCACACTCAGGATACAGCCAATCGACGAGAATTGCTTCAATCTATATTTTACATGTATCATTAATATATGGTTTTACAATGGCTATGGTGATGAGTTGTCTAGGTAACATGTTGATGTGTTTGTTAAATGTATTACCATGGTGCACCTTCTTGGTTACAAATAAAATATGTGTATGTATTAACGTAAGTTCGTGCCTTTACATATCACAGTAGAAATCAATGTTTTATATTTGATGCAGAATAATATTAATATTTGGAGATTAGAAACACAAACAGTTTCCATAACCGTTCAAGTGTTTCAAGAAAAAGTTAAGCAAACTTTCTCCTGGATGTAAATTGGAATTTTAAGCGGTTTCATTGGAATTAATCGAGAAATTCCCCTCGCTAGCGTGTAAATAAAAAATACGCCGGCCGGTGTGACCGGGCCGTTTGTCCTACCAGTTTCGTTTGTCCGTCGGACATAATATGCGGGTTTTCTGCTCGCACGGATCGTCCGAGGGACGATCCGTGCGGATTGCTATCCGCGCAGTCTGTCCCCCCATTGTTTTACGTGTATATTTGATAAAAAGGAAGAAACTCGGCAAATCAATGTATTTAGACTCATTGTAAATCATGTGGTTGGCATTTTTTCTAGAAATTACATAATAATAACTCTTTACAATTTTTTAAAGCAAATGGGCCAGTCCTTTTGAAAGTAGAAGTGAATATTTTCTTTAAAACATTTATTCTATGAAGGCATACTCGTGATATTGGCCCCACATTACTGTTGTAATCGATTGTACGTGGCTTCGTACTTACGGTCAGATGAGCATATTTTAATACCATATTCATGACACTGGCAGGTCACTAATTGGCGTATGGTCCAAGGGGCGGAGCCCCCGGAAGCGCAGGGGTTTTAGACATTACAATTAAGGTCAGATTAGCATCCAGGGGCCAGCCTTAGGGCCCAAGATGGGGTCCAGGGGGCAGAGCCTCCGGAATTAGCTCAGGGGTATGGGCATTTAATTACGGTTACATGAGCAAAAATTAGAAAAAAATAATCACTTTTAAAGTTTATATTGGTGGGGGGGGGGATAGGAACTGGCTGAATACTTACACCTATGGTGTCGAGGGGCTCTTTCTTCATTTTTTTTATTCGGTAATAAATAAGGTTAGTTGT